AAACTAGAGCACGTCGAGTTTCCCGCGTTCGGGGCTCCGCATGGTTTCGGCGCCACTACTTACCAACAGCACCGCACCCACCCTGCGTCCACCCCTGGAGCCCCGGAATGCGCTCTCTTACAGCTCCAAATCAGCATAGATGTGCTCTGGCACACTCCGTATTCAGCCGGCACACTTCGCCAGCTCGCTGTTGTTGGTCACTGAGCAGCAACTATGCAGAGAGTTCGGTCAGGTCACGCTTCCACTCTTCAGTCTCCCAAACTTGATGCTGTAGGAGGGCCTTAAGGAGCTGGGTGCCACGGAGAGCGGATGTGAGAGGGAGATGGGCTTTCGGGGCATCATCCAGTTTGTAGGAAAATTCGGAGTCGCCGAACCAGCGCCGCTTTCGTGCTTGGCCAGTAACTTCGTCGATTGTAGTCCAACCGATTTTGTCACAGAACTTATCAAATACCCCCTTTTGCAGGCGCCAAACGTTTTTCTGGACGGTATAACCAAATTTCCCATCGCTGTAGTGCAGCCACAGGTTCTCGACTGTCGCAAGGTCTTCATCAGGAAGCTGGCGAGCCTCGGTCCAATAAACATAACCTCGTTTCATTGCTTCCTCACCAGCCATCTCAATCAAGACGTCGCGCGTTGTCTGATCCGCCATCCTGTAGTCGCCAACCCGCAACTGTTCCATCAGAGGCTCGTAATCAATGCCCTTGGCCGAAATCAGACAATTTGGGTCCACAGGTCCACGAGATAAACCTGAGTCGGGAGTCGCCGATGTAGCCGTTGCTATCGCGGAGGTTTTTGGAAATAGAAATAGGGGTTGTCGAGTTGGTGTACGCAGCGCGATAACAGCTGGATATACAACGAGCATAGCCGCTAAACTCTCGAAAACAAGGCCCCTCATCGTCGCCAGTCACCTGCACGATTCACCCCCGGCGACCTGTGTTTTTGCTGCTGCTGCGTGATGCAGTTCGGCCATAACTCGGGCTGCGTCGCGCGCGCGGACGAGCCCTTTTGCCAGGCCCAGGACACCCCATCGAGACTTTTCGACCCTCTAGGGCTGCCCGCCGCGCGCCGCGGCGGCGCCAAACTCTGCCCGGGATACTATGGCGGTAATTTGCCCTCAGCCTGACTCTTGACTAGGGTATGGTGATAATTAGTTAGTAGACTCCCTACTCAAGTAGGCAGACTAATCTGGGGTCGGGGCTCTCTGTCCTCAATCGCTGGAGTTAAGTGAGTAGGAAAGAAAAGGGGCAGCGTCATAGGAATCCAGATATGTATCCTCCACAAGCCCACTGCACTGCCAACTTCAAGCTAAGTCAGTCAAGATACCTCAGCCTAGTCTCCCGCCACAAAGCCCCCATACTTGATTCATAACGTCCTCGTTAAAAAGTCAGAAAGAACAAGCTTGGCGGGTGACGCAGAGGAAACTGGGTAACTATACCGGCTGCTGAAATTCATTCACTTCGGCTGTACAATGACTGCATCACTGAGATGTAATTTGGTAAAAATCAGGGACTCCTGCTGCCGGAAATGCGACATTCAGGTAATTCACGGGGTCTTATAATTGTCTAAAAATGCGTTTACTTTGAGGCATACGTCAGAAGGCACTTTACCACCCTTCTGCATAAACCAATCCTTGGCTATGATCACAATGCGGTAGCCCACACTAGCTGCGCTGCGTCAACATGGGTCTGACCTAGGGCTCCCGCCCGGTGGTCTTGGTTTGCCGCCACACGCCCAGGACGTCGCGTAAGACGGCGCGCCCCATGCCCAAAACGCAGGTCGCCCTCGGCGTTTTGTGTAGTAGGCGGCTTATGTGGCTAGCAAGAGAGCGGGGCCACCCCCGAGCCTTGGGGGCCCCCCGGGGGGTTTATGGGCCCTCAGCGAACCCCCCACCCCCCGTCCCCGCGGCCCCCGGCGGCCCGGACGCGTACTGGGGCGCTGTTTTCAGGAGGTTTTCGCGCCCGGGCCGAGCAAAAGTCGCACCCCCCACCCCGTCGACCTCCCCCCCAAGCCCCCCCGGTGGCTAAAAAACGAAATCCTGTAGATACAAAACAGCACCTTTCGTCCCAGTGGACAAAATGGGCTTGGGGTGTCAGGCGCCTCTTGAATTTTCTTCGCGGACCACGATCTCGCTGAGTCATGCGCTGGTAAGTGTGTGTATGGGCGCTTCGGCGACGCCGAAGCGCCTCGCCGGCCGGCGCTTCCAGCGCTTCGGCGCGCGACGCGCGCGGCGCTGTCAACCGCTGGCGCGGCCACACCCTACCCCTGGGCCCCTCTGGGAGTGGTTTCCGCGGCCGCCGCGCGACGGATCTCGTCGGGGAAGACTTGTTCGACGGAGGCGCTCTCGCATCGAATCGGCGCGAGTTTCACTCGACTGTGTGGTGCTGCGACGACGAGCCCGAGACGTTTGGAGAGGCCTACGACCTACTCTCGACCCATGGTCGACGCTACGGCACGGTCTACGTCCCGTTTGGACTGCATCTCGTCGCTCCGCAACCGACCGTGCTGGGCCCCGCCCCTGAAATGGGTCCTTTCCGGCACCACTGCGTCACCGCGCGACGCGCGAAAGGGCGTCCAGCGCGCCCGCGCACCGTCCCCGACCCAGAGGCGTCCAGGATGGCCAGGGGGGGGGCGTAATGACAGCTAGCATGAGCAAAACTTTGGCGTCCATTTGCTCGATTTCGCTCTCGATTGCTAGGTTCTGTTTTGTATCCACTCAGCCACATACAGATCTACCTCTTGTAGCGCCGACAGGAGCGCAAACGGAACCCCTCATAATTTACATTATCCCCCCCCTACTATCGCCACGTCACACTATGGAGATGACACTGCACGCCCCCTTGACATTGGCCTCAACGTGCCTTATATTACCCTAGTTTCGGGTATTTCTCTCTACAAGCGCGACGATTTGGCGCTCAGGCTTGACAACAGGGTTTGTCCAGCTGTATTATCCGACCCCCCCACGCGGGATTGGGTCGCGGCGTCTTTCGCGTACGATAAAATGCGGCGTTCGATAAAATGTGGCCTCCTGGCTCACATGGCATATGCAATTTTTGTTATTAGGAATAGGCCTATGACATGGCATGATGCTGCGCATGTGGGCATCGGCCATCGACCGAAAGCCAGCAAGACGAGCCTTGTTGGGCACAAGGCAGGCGCCCCTGTGGTCCCAGCGAATTTTTATCAGTGCCAAAAACAAACCCTCGAAACCCTTGAAACGAAAGGCCTGGGGGTTTGCCTCTGGAACTTGGCAACATCGCGCGCATGGCATCGGTATGCCCATTGCGGGTGAGGCTGGCCTCCGCGGCCGCTGGGGATCGTCGAAATCACAGGCATCGTGGTGACATAACACGTAAGCACGACCCAAACAAGACAGGCTGTGTAGACCTCGCACATGACAACGGCCAGTGCATCAGTTTAGACAAAGGTTTCCTACTACAAACAAAAGACAGAGCACATTGTTTGTCTGATTAGCCATCATCATCATCTTCCTGGTCGGTTTCTACATCCTCGAGGTCGTAAAGGGTGAGGAAACTAGGCTCTGCAAGGACGCACGCCATACCTCGACAGCCAGAGACAGAAAACCGTTTTGAACGCGCCCTGGTGAGGGGAATGACCTTGACGTTGCATGATCGCAGATGAAGAGATTGGGAATTATCATAAATGTTGTTGGACCAATCTGCTCTTCCTTCACAGAAGAATGCAGAATGAATTCCGGGCTCGACTAGCTCGAAACGTTGTTCTTTCAGAAAACTTGCATCACCTAGTAGCCAAATTTCGTCAGTGCCACCTCTTTGAAGAAGAGCGGCAATGCGGTTGACCCTGTTTTGGTAGGAGCCTTGCTGAGAGGCGTAGAATTTTGCCTGGACAATGCGAGTCTCCTCTGGCGCCTGGAAGCCCAAGCAAGTACGCATGCTGTCGTGATTATGGGACTTTATCAACCAAAGCTTTGACTCTGTTGCTTTGATAAGAATAGAAACATCTTGGAGGCACTCGTAGGACCCAGGGGCAGGACATGTTCTCGTGGACAAATCAGCCTGCGGCTCAGGGAAATGCGCAGTGAAACAGCACCTCTCCCTAAGACTCAAATCTTCCAGCGTCTCCCCCGGGAATTGGATTGAGGACTTGTGCGCAATGTCCTTGGCGAGCATTTTACGTGTCCTG